TGTAGGAATATCTCCGTGTGTAAAATCTCTCTCCGTCTCCTCTAGAGATATATTGAGTTTGAGGACTCTCAAGAGCAGGGTAAGAAAGATCTTCAGAACCGTGTGCAGATGCTGGAGGCTCAAACCAGACAGATGGAGCTCAAGACCAAGAACTACGCAGACCAGAGTAAGTTACCTGCTTTACCTCGAAGAGCCGGGTAATGTGCTCAATATTCACAACTCGTTCAAATGTTTGCTTGTGTCAGCATATTTTGTATTTGAAGTTATCCTTGTGCTGTTTTAATAACATTTTAAGAGACACATCTTTTTTTTTTTAAGTTGCAAGAAAATACTATTTCAGTTTTTCACTGTTTCAAAATTTCACATTTAAATCAGTATGTTACTTGCCTTTTTTTTTTGGAACTATTTGTGTATATCTTACATCAATTTATGTGTAGTAAAAAAATATATAATATGTATAATATACAGTATATGTGTGTACTGTGTATATTTATTATGTACATGTAAATACAAACACATGCATGCATATATTTAAGAAAAATGTTATGTTAATATATTAAATATATTTATATATAATATAAAATACAAGAATATAAATGTATATGCATGTAAATATTTCCAAAATATATACATGCATGTGTGGGTGTGTATTTATATATACATTATAAATATACACAGTACACACTCATTTACTATGTAAACAAAAACTTTTATTTCGGATGCGATTAATCGCTTGACAGCACTACTGTTTATTCATCTGTATTGTTATATTGGTGTATATCAATGAAAATGATTGTAGATGGTTAGTTTAAATTGAAATATTAATTACAAATATAACTTCTCCATGTTCATGTAGTGAATAACATTGTGTAAAACATGCCTTAAAGGGACAGTTCACCCGAAAATGAAAATTAGCTCATGATTTACTCGCCCTCAAGCCATCCTAGGTGTGTATGACTTTCTTCTTTACAATCGGATACAATTGGAGTTATATTAAAGAACCTCCTGGCTCTTCCAAGCTTTATAATGGCAGTGAATGGGTGTCGAGATTTTGAAGTCCAAAAAAAGTGCATCCATCCATCATAGAAAGTGCCTCACACGGCTCCGGGGGTTTATAAAAGGCCTTCTGAAGCGAAACGATTCGTTTGTGTAAGAAAAATATCCATATTTAAAACTTTATAAACCGTAATCTCTAGCTTCCGCTAACTGTCGTACGCGCGTTCGTGAGGTTTTCCTTAGCTGTAAACAAAACTTAGTTCCCACGAGACTAGCATATTCTCACCGGAGCAAATTATTAATTATTTTAGCTGCATTTTTATTGTTTAGTTCTCACATTGGAAATTTAGAATCTGCAATGGCTGTTCAAGGCTGTTCTAGTGCAAGAACTTCCCATTTTGTGGCGAACAGAAACTCTTTTCTATTTCCCTACTGTAACCATAAACGGCACTTGTTTGATGTGATATGATGAACAGCTGTCAAGGAAACACACTTTTATTCACTCACTATGTTCCCATACTTACTTTTTATATGCCTAGATGTTATAATAAATCAACCATATGAAGCCTTTCTATTTTCTAAATGCTAGTTTTGAATTGTGACTCTTTTCATTAGATTTTTTCCCCCAGTCACATGAACTATAATCAGCTTTTGTTGCCATGTAGATTAAAAATGTTTAATGCAACTAAAAATGTAGATGCATTAATCGAGGCAGGAAGCCAGGAAAAATTATATTTAATATTTTATATGCAGCAACACTACTGTTCAAAAGTTTGGGGTCTTTTGCGAAACTAGTGTAATGACAGCTTTTAGGAAGCTTGATAGTCCAACTTAAAGCTTATTACTAATCATCATATTCACAAAGTGGCTTTATTTGATATCGCCAGCAATTCATATATGAATATTTGATATGTTATCTTGATATTGACATACATTTACTAGCGGTAAGAGTAGGGCTGGGCGATACAACTATATAATTATTGCAATATAAAGAAGACTTTTCAATCTACAAATCGGCATTATTTACCATGGATTTACTGTAGTAACACTAGCTGCACCATGGTATTGTGGCAGAAATGTGGGATATTCATATCACATTTTATTATATTATTAATGTAGATGCATTCTAAAAAGTGTGGGGTTGTTTAAACCCAACTTTGGGTCAAATATGGACTAAAAATTAAAATTAAAAAGTCCATATTTGACCCAAAGTTGGGTTGAAACAACCCCACACTTTTTTTAGAGTGCATGTATTAAAGGAGCAATGAAATATAATTACAGTATTTTTGTGATTAAGCTATAGCATTTGTGCATTTATACCAAATGTGTTTAGACTACTGTTTCTCATACAAATACCTAGAAACCATATAGTTACATTTTTACCATGGTACTGAGGTGCTATATGTGTGGTTATCATGATCTAAATGTGTGCTACCAATGGCTGATTTTAATAAAACTCAAACAGTCAGAATAATTACATTTAACCATATAAAATGAGGTTGTTACAATTTAAAAAACTTTTTTTTTATTATAAACATAATTTTACATCTGCATCCTAACTCAAGCTACTGTCAAATGTGCATTTCTAAGAGAATATATATATATGTGTCCCTGCAGCACAAAAGCAGTGTTGAGTCGCTGGGGGATATTTGTAGCAATAGCCAACAATACATTGTATGGGTCACAATTATACATTTCTCTTTTATGCCAAAAATCATTAGGATATTAAGTAAAGATCATGTTCCATGAAGATATTTAGTAAATGTCCTACCGTAAATATATCAAAACTTAATGTTTGATTAGTAATATGCATTGCTAAGAACTTCATTTGAACAACTTTAAAGATGATTTTCTCAATATTTAGATTTTTTTGCACCCTAGACTCCAGATTTTCAAATAGTTGTATCTCAGCCAAATATTGTCCGATCCTAACAAACCATACATCAATGGAAAGCTTATTTATTCAGCTTTCATATGATGCATAAATCTCAATTTCGAGAAATTGACCCTTATGACTGGTTTTGTGCTCCAGGGTCACAAATGTATATTATTTTTATTATTAATATTGGAGGCTGCACTGCAAACTGTGCTGAAGATACACACAATCAAAGTCAGGAACACAAACCTGTTTCATGATTTGAAACAATATCACTCATTAGAAAATGCAGAAGCAAATAAATACATTTTTGTATGAAGATATTTATTTTGTTCAGGAAAAATGAAAAGTGTAAAGAATTCAAAAGCATGTTCTGACCATAACGAGTCGTTTAAAACCACAAATAACGGTCTGCTTGCTACAACTTCTACTTAGGAGCAAAAATCTGGCTTTAAACTGGAAAGAAATAAAGAGTAAAGTCACAGTTCTGATAAATAAAGTCGCAATTCTGAGAAATAAAATCACAATTGCGAGATAAAAAGTCGCAATTACCTTTTTTTATTTTTTAATAATAAAAATAGTTTTATATTCAGTGTTGTTAAAGACCGAAAAAGCTTGTTGTATTTAATATGCATAATGCCAGATAACAAGCTGCATTTTGTTTATTTTAGATTGCGTAAATACAATACATGCACTTCAAAGTCCGGGATTCATTCACCTGACACCTGTTAGCAGGTGGATTGTGCTTTTGTTTTCTCTGGAGTAGGGTTGACCGATTATCTGCACCGGTATTAAGCGTTTTTTTATGGTTATGTTGTTTCAAACAATGGTATAAACATCATTCAATGTAAATTGTGATAATCGTAATCATTAATAATCTCAATTACAATTTCAAGGGAATAATCGACAATTATGAATTTGGTCATAATCGTGCAGCACTAGTATGTGGCATAAAAAGTTGTTCCCTTCAACATTCAAGCTGATTTTAACACCAAAACCTTTTTGTTTTTGTACAATGAGTTATTTTTATTCCAGCATTGACTTTAAAGAACAATGTGTTTTATATGGAAGCCGTTTTCCACCACTGAATAAAAAATAAAAAAAAGGTAATTATGACTTTTTATCTCACAATTCGGACTTTTTTTCTCAGAATTGTTTGATATAAACTCGCAATTGCGTGAAATGAAGTCAGAATTGCTGGATATAAAGTCACAGCTGCAAGTTATCAAGTCAGAACTGCGAGATATAAACTCGTAATTATATTGTATCTCTCAATTGTGACTTTTTTCTCAGAATTGTGTGATATAAAGTCACAGTTCTGATAAATAAAGTCGCAATTCTGAGAAATAAAATCACAATTGCGAGATAAAAAGTCGCAATTACCTTTTTAAATTTTTTAATAATAAAAATAGTTTTATATTCAGTGTTGTTAAAGACCGAAAAAGCTTGTTGTATTTAATATGCATAATGCCAGATAACAAGCTGCATTTTGTTTATTTTAGGATTGCGTAAATACAATACATGCACTTCAAAGTCCGGGATTCATTCACCTGACACCTGTTAGCAGGTGGATTGTGCTTTTGTTTTCTCTGGAGTAGGGTTGACCGATTATCGGCACCGATATTAAGCGTTTTTTATGGTTATCGGTCATTTTCAAAACCGATTTGCCACTAAAATAATTTAAAAGCATTTAAAGAGAGTTTTTGTCAGAGCCTTTGTTATTCTTAACTTTTACATTAATTTTCATTTTTACACCAGACATATATTTATTTCAAAATATCGGTTATCGGTGTACTTGATCTGTAATAATCGGTATCGGCATCGGCCCTGAAAAACACATATCGGTCGACCCTGGAGACGAGCTGGAGTGTGTTTGTTGTTCTCTCTAATCTGCATAAACGCATCTGTTCCCACATCCAATCAGCTGTGGAATGTAAAACAGAAAATGCATACAGAATTAGTGCATAAGAGCTGTTCATGAAGCATCAGAGGAGTGCGTGAGCAGCACACAAGGACAGACAGCTGCTGTAAAGCCGCTCATGTGTATGTGTGTGTGTGTGTGTGTGTGTGTGTGTTTGTTCACTGCTCGCCGGAGTGGATGATGTCACAGCAGTGAGAGGCTGCTCAAACACACACACACACACACACAGAGAGATCCTCGCGCTGCTGTGCCGGTGTTGATGGGATTGTTTTCATGTATCGGGGGGCAGCAGCAGCCATGAGTCCGGGATGCATGCTGCTGTTTGTCTTTGGCTTCGTGGGGGGAGCGGTGGTCATCAACTCTGCCGTGCTGGTCTCTCTCTCCGTTCTGCTGCTGGTGCATTATTCTGTCTCTAATGGCCTGCCCGCCATCACACACTCCCTGCCCCGCATCAGCAGGTACGCAGCCACAGCGCGTGTGTGTGTGGATGTTAGCCTAGTTATTCTAGTTATTGATCCCCCTCATGTTAAGCCTCTGTTTTCCCTGCATTTCTGACGGTCTGTCTTTGTAAGTTTTCTGATGTCGTGCATGATTTTACTCTGTATTGCAATCATGCACTGCTTGTTCATCATGTGTCTGTTACCTCTGAGACGAGTCGAGAGAATGTAGTAAACAAGAGTGGATCGAGCATTTCTCTTGTCAACACAGTGCAGTTTTCTGTCTGGGGTTCTGTCAGAGAAATGCGTATTGTTCATTCTCTATGGCTTCAGTTTGTTCTGTACTTCCATACTTCCTAGAGTTGCATTCAGCACAGCTGCAATTGAACACCTGATATTGTTTGCTGCTTTGAAGAGCTTTCTGTTGTTTGTTTGGAGATGTTAAACTGGTTTCATGGTCGTAGTGTTGTCTTCAGGTGATTAGAATTGTAAAACTTGTAAACACTGTAACCTGAGCTTTAAAATGAGGGGGAAAAAAATAATAAAATAAATATATATATACTACCATTCAAAAGTCTGGAGACAGTAATATTACTTTTATTCAGAAAGGATACATTAAATTGATCAAAAGTGACAGTAAAGTAGGAGTGTCAAATCTATTAATCGTGATTAATCGCACCCAAAATAAAAGTTTGTTTACATAATAATATATGTGTATGTACTGTGTATATGTATATCATGTATATATAAATACACGCACACATAAGAAGTGTATGTAATTTCATTCCATATCATTCGCGGTACGAAAAAAGCGAGAATTTTTTTTCGTCCTGTGTGATTTTGTCCAGAGAGCAGCTTGCTTTGGTTCATTGCAAGAAATGAAACACTCGCTTTTATGTTTTGATAAAAGGGAAACTGTGCTTGCTTCTGAGCCCATCTAAGATGCATCTTTTTCATCTAGTTTTTATATGATTTAGTTGAAAACAGCTGGACTTGTTCCAATGCAGACAATCATATTAGTTGCTTTTGACTGATTTCTGCCAAGATTTCTTCTAGTTCTGCTTTTATAAATAACTTGAAACAGAAACTGCTTGTGCTGTAATAGCTCTTCACGAGTTGAACTTCGTACCTTTACTGCGTGACGTGTGTGTGATTACACAAGCATGAGTATTGTACATTCATGGAGCTCTATCTGATGTATAAAGCTTCGATTTTCCATGCATGCATTTACTCCCTTTTATTTTCACATGTTAATGAGGTGCACTTGACTTTTGGGATGCTTGTTCCTCGGTAGAGATAGAGCACAGATTTTTGTGGTAGTATTTGAATCCACACTTCCTCAAATCTGGTTCTTGTTTCCAAACCGTACTTTACACTTTCCTTACTGTACTGTTCCAGCTGAATAGAGTGAATCATATTCATGTGAGCAGATCCGCTCTGAATGTGCAGTCAGCAGGTTCAGGCTCTCAATGCAGCTCTGTGGCAACCCACAACAGGAGGAGAGACAATCAGAGAAGACGAAAGAAAAGTCCCATCAATCAAACGCTCCTCTGCTCTCCTAGAGGATCTAATGCTGTTTGCTACGGCACGTACTTCTCGCACCCAATATTTTGTATTGCAGGCAGAAACATCCAGAAGGCCTGTACTGAGACATGCATAAGGATCAGAAAAGCATAACGACTTTTTGTTTGCTGCTTTGAAGAGCTTTCTGTTGTTTGTTTGGAGATGTTAAACTGGTTTCATGGTCGTAGTGTTGTCTTCAGGTGATTAGAATTGTAAAACTTGTAAACACTGTAACCTGAGCTTTAAAATGAGGGGGAAAAAAATAATAAAATAAATATATATATACTACCATTCAAAAGTCTGGAGACAGTAATATTACTTTTATTCAGAAAGGATACATTAAATTGATCAAAAGTGACAGTAAAGTAGGAGTGTCAAATCTATTAATCGTGATTAATCGCACCCAAAATAAAAGTTTGTTTACATAATAATATATGTGTATGTACTGTGTGAATATGTATATCATGTATATATAAATACACGCACACATAAGAAGTGTATGTAATTTCATTCCATATCATTCGCGGTGCGAAAAAAGCGAGAATTTTTTTTTCGTCCTGTGTGATTTTGTCCAGAGAGCAGCTTGCTTTGGTTCATTGCAAGAAATGAAACACTCGCTTTTATGTTTTGATAAAAGGGAAACTGTGCTTGCTTCTGAGCCCATCTAAGATGCATCTTTTTCATCTAGTTTTTATATGATTTAGTTGAAAACAGCTGGACTTGTTCCAATGCAGACAATCATATTAGTTGCTTTTGACTGATTTCTGCCAAGATTTCTTCTAGTTCTGCTTTTATAAATAACTTGAAACAGAAACTGCTTGTGCTGTAATAGCTCTTCACGAGTTGAACTTCGTACCTTTACTGCGTGACGTGTGTGTGATTACACAAGCATGAGTATTGTACATTCATGGAGCTCTATCTGATGTATAAAGCTTCGATTTTCCATGCATGCATTTACTCCCTTTTATTTTCACATGTTAATGAGGTGCACTTGACTTTTGGGATGCTTGTTCCTCGGTAGAGATAGAGCACAGATTTTTGTGGTAGTATTTGAATCCACACTTCCTCAAATCTGGTTCTTGTTTCCAAACCGTACTTTACACTTTCCTTACTGTACTGTTCCAGCTGAATAGAGTGAATCATATTCATGTGAGCAGATCCGCTCTGAATGTGCAGTCAGCAGGTTCAGGCTCTCAATGCAGCTCTGTGGCAACCCACAACAGGAGGAGAGACAATCAGAGAAGACGAAAGAAAAGTCCCATCAATCAAACGCTCCTCTGCTCTCCTAGAGGATCTAATGCTGTTTGCTACGGCACGTACTTCTCGCACCCAATATTTTGTATTGCAGGCAGAAACATCCAGAAGGCCTGTACTGAGACATGCATAAGGATCAGAAAAGCATAACGACTTTTGAGTTGGCTTTTTGACTTGGCAACACCCTAGTTACCAGTCCAAACGCCTTAGAAACCCCTTATAATTCTGGGAAAGTTGTCAGTCCAATTGTAACATGGTGGCAATGAGTTTTTCTCCAGAAAGCAATGTCAAAAAAAAGCTGTGAAACCAAAGTAACTCAGAAACTTGTTTTGGTGGTAAAATGGTGCATTTGGAGGTAATATGGTGTGTATGTTAAAATAGTGTTTTTCGCCAAAAAGCACCACTCACATTTCCTTCAGAAGAGAGAAAATAAAAAATAAGCCAATGTAATTTAGAAACTTGTTTCGGTGGCAATATGGTGTCATTTCCATCCAATACTTGATATGAAATTGGTGAGAATTTTTTTTTTAAGTAATCCATAATGTTTCTTGCTCAAGTGTCTATTGGTGTGTGATATTGACAAAATTGTATCTCGATATTTTTGGGATATTTTTTTTCAATAACGATAATTAAAGTATATTTTACTGAGTCTGTTTTTGTGCTGGTGCTTTGGCTGGTTTGGGCCTGTCATGGATAAATAAATAAAACACTAAAACCACCAGTAGGTGGCGGCAAGTGCTTTACTTAATGAGTGATTTATTGAATCATTCATTCAAATGATTCATTCAAAACGGCTAATTCATTTAGAAACAAATCAAGTGACTGTCTTTATAAATGGATCATTGAATCATTGACTCATATGATTCGTTCAAAAACGATTAATTCAGGAATGAAACACTGCAGTGTTGCTCTGTGATGCACAAATGTCCTGCTCTGGCTTCACTTGGAACTATTTTTGTTGGAAAAAAAAAAAAGACTAAAACAGACTATTGAGTCTAAACTAGTAACTCAATATAAAATCAATACAAAATTTGCAATCACACTCACGCGCCAATATTCAGGAAAACGGCACTCTTGCTTGTTTGATATAACTCGTATCTCATATCTTATAAATTTGAAAAACAAAAACCCATACAGGGATATTTTTTGCTTTCATAACTTGAACTATAGGGGCATTCTTACTGCATTCTAATAGGATTTATCATGTAGAGAATGCTTTTGTGAACGACTCTCAAGATGTGCGGGGTTTTTTTTTGCATGTACTCATGCATACTCAATAATGTCAACATGCACATCGTTAAATCAACAATTACCATATTATTGTAGACAATAAATATCACACACCTAGAAGTGTTCAGTCATATGTTTTGTGTGTGTATTTAGGAAGGAGCGCCCCGTCTCTCTGGGTATCTTTTCATTGCCGGGAAGTGATGTGATGAGCCCCGATCTGCACAGAGAAGCTGTGGAGACTCCAGAAACGGACACATGGAGATATAACAATCTCAGCCACCCTTGCTCCAACATCAGCCTCAAGGTGAGAAACGCACCGGTTTACAGATTATTTACTTACGAGGAGTGAGGATCTTCAGGCACTTCACAATCCGATCCGATTCCAAAACGATTCTCTATCTACATTTTTTTCCTAATTAATTCTTCTGCTGTGCAAATACATCTTTACAACTTTACATTTTAACCAAAATTGCAGTTTCTATGCTTTTTGTTTATAGTTGGAATCTCTGAAAGTCAGTACGGCCATCTTAAAAATAGCTAGGGGTGTGAATCTTCACTGGTCACGAGTCACGATAAAAGAGATCAGAGATAAAATGACATGGTTGCTTACAATAGTAAAACATTTTAAGCATAACCCTATGCTTAACCTAACCCTAACCCTAACATTCACAACCCTCTCAAAACTCAAGACAAACAAACCACTCAAACTGGGTAGTTCTCACCAAGAATATTTCCAAGATTTTGAGGAACAGATGTGCAAGTTGTGGGGAAAACCCATCTCGACGGAGCCACTGGATTCTCACACCTTGCATTCCCTCATTTTGCATTTATTTCTTGTTTTCTTGTTTGTGCTTTTTTCTGTCACGACTTGACCTACTTATTATTCTGTTTTCAGCTCGAAAGATATGAGAACTTAATTTCTTATTTTTTTGTCATTGAAAAGTACAGATCCCTGTGCATGACATGCAGAAGAAAAAAATGATTAATTTTTAAATTAATTTGTCGCCATGTTGTATTAAAACAATTAAATCATGGTCACAATTGAATTAAAGTGACAGAATAAATGAGTACAATATGGCCGCAAACTTAAATCAGAGAATAAATCAAAAGGTCGTATTTTCTTTTTGTCTATTTAATCATAGAGAAGTACAGAGCTCCATGCATTTTTATGGGTTTTCTAGTGCACCTTCCCAAAATCAGCAAAGTGCATGGAAAGTATTTTTATTATTATTTTTATCTGACTTTCCCATTGGTTAATTGTAAGTTTAAAGCCCTTTTAGCCCTGATGAAGGTCTGTGTGCCGAAACACGTTGGCAATGTATATATTATTACTTTCAGTTTGACTTCTTTTTGATTTCTCCACTTTGCAAGTGTTGCTGCTATCCCTTAAAGTACAGAGCCTCATGCATGACATGTGGGGAAACAAAATAGATATCGTGGCCACAAATTAAGAATTTGTTTTCATGACTTATTAATTTGCAGCCACATTTTACCATTTTTTTTGCCTCATTTTAATTGTTAAATCATGTCACTATAGTGTTATTTATCTAAAACCAGGGAGCAAACGAATAAGTTATAATAAAGGAACTAATTCTTAATTCGTGGCTACTATATCCTATTTTTTTTGTCGTTGTTAATCCATAATGTTTCTTGCTCAAGTGTCTATTGGTGTGTGATATTGACAAAATTGTATCTCGATATTTTTGGGATATTTTTTTTCAATAACGATAATTAAAGTATATTTTACTGAGTCTGTTTTTGTGCTGGTGCTTTGGCTGGTTTGGGCCTGTCATGGATAAATAAATAAAACACTAAAACCACCAGTAGGTGGCGGCAAGTGCTTTACTTAATGAGTGATTTATTGAATCATGCATTCAAATGATTCATTCAAAACGGCTAATTCATTTAGAAACAAATCAAGTGACTGTCTTTATAAATGGATAATTGAATCATTGACTCATATGATTCGTTCAAAAACGATTAATTCAGGAATGAAACACTGCAGTGTTGCTCTGTGATGCACAAATGTCCTGCTCTGGCTTCACTTGGAACTATTTTTGTTGGAAAAAAAAAAAAGACTAAAACAGACTATTGAGTCTAAACTAGTAACTCAATATAAAATCAATACAAAATTTGCAATCACACTCACGCGCCAATATTCAGGAAAACGGCACTCTTGCTTGTTTGATATAACTCGTATCTCATATCTTATAAATTTGAAAAACAAAAACCCATACAGGGATATTTTTTGCTTTCATAACTTGAACTATAGGGGCATTCTTACTGCATTCTAATAGGATTTATCATGTAGAGAATGCTTTTGTGAATGACTCTCAAGATGTGCGGGTTTTTTTTTTGCATGTACTCATGCATACTCAATAATGTCAACATGCACATTGTTAAAACAACAATTACCATATTATTGTAGACAATAAATATCACACACCTACAAGTGTTCAGTCATATGTTTTGTGTGTGTATTTAGGAAGGAGCGCCCCGTCTCTCTGGGTATCTTTTCATTGCCGGGAAGTGATGTGATGAGCCAAATTTTTTTTGCCTCATTTTAATTGTTAAATCATGTCACTATAGTGTTATTTATCTAAAACCAGGGAGCAAACGAATAAGTTATAATAAATGAACTAATTCTTAATTCGTGGCTACTATATCCTGTTTTTTTTGTCGTTGTTTTTTCTCCCTCTGCATACCATGTGTGGAGCTCAGTGATCTTTTATGTGAAGGTTTTGGTGTTGCAATTAGCTGAACTAATCAGGGGATTTGTTAAAAAATAATCTTGTGCTAAATAGGAAGTATTGTTGCACTCAGACAAATGTATTACTTCATGTATTTCAGTCAATAAGACTTATCACCAAACAAGACTAAAAGGTCTGGCAAAACTATTTTATTTTTACTTTTTACATTTATTTTATATGACAAGCTTCATCTAGTGTGCAAACAACGATTTTTTTTTGTTTTGTTAAAATTAACATCAGGCACTCTTTCCAATTCATTTGCAAGAAGGTGCAGAGCTGTAGGTGCTACACACATACAGAAACTGCTGGCTCAAACCGCTTGGCAACTTGTCTTGTTCTTCTGGTGTTTATGAATAATATTATCTGTTCAGCTTCATCCCTATTACCTCATCGTGACTGGATGCATTCATCAGTCTGAGTTTGTGAAAGCTCAAGCCCTTTTTTAATACAAAAAAGTCACAGTAGGTGTACATCAAACTCTGTTATTTGAGAAGATCAATGAACATGTTTCCTATGTGATTATATGTTAAACTGCAATTTATTTCTGTGATGAAAAAAAACTTTTGAACAGTGGTGTGCATGTACTATAAGTGAAGTTTCTCTCTGCTATTTAGTATGATCTGGGTTCGTTTGATTACTTAAAGTCCATTATCAAATATTTCAGAGCATGAGGTGATGATATTTAATGTGTTATTCTTCATGATTAATCTGGACGGTGCCCAGTCTCATTTAGCACATCAATGACTGTTAATTCATAAATGCTTAATATGACTCAGTGCGAAGTTTATCGCTCATGCCGCCGGTAATGCTTCATGCCACCTGGGGTTGTTTTCAGGATGAGCTTTCTGGTGCCGGTAGAGGAGAGTCCAAATCCAGCACAGCCATGTCTGCATCGGTGGACACGCCGCAGGGTTTGAGCAGAAACCTGGACTCCAGCAGAGCTAAACCAGACAGCAGGAAGAACATCGCTGTGGCAGCAGAGACGCCGGCTACAGGTGACTCCTAATGTCTCGGAGTCCTAATGCAGTTTGTAATGCTCTGCTTTCACTGCATGTTTCACTCATGGTTTCAAGGGGTCCTTAAATCTTCAAATGTCTTCAATTCAGTTTGATCAAATGTAAGGCCATAAAGTCTTTAAAAATCATAAATGGTATAACAAAAGTCTTCATTATCATTTAAGCGGTCTTAAATTTGGGCGCAAAAAATTGCAATGCGGCCTAATGTGATTATTAAACTTCAAAAAGCTTCATTTGAAGTTGTTGCACATTCTAGAGGATTGCTCTTTAAGAGCACATTTATTCCAGATTGCTTATTATTTAGTGTTTACACTTCATGGTGTTTCTATTGTAGTATGTTGTAGATGAATGCATGGTTTATCTGTTTGAAAGAGCAGCTGGAAGTGGTAAAGCATATGCATTACAAAATAAGAGTCCTGGTGCATTTCGAGGTTGTTTATAATTAAAAGTCTCGCATTATGCATAAAAATTATTATTTCTGGATATTATTGGTATTTTGGCCACACTATACACCACATATACACCATATACCTATACACAGGACTCTTATTTTGTAATGTCTGTGCTTTACCACTTCCAGCTGCTCTTTCAAACAGATAAACCATGCATTCATCTACAACATACAGTACTACAGTTGAAACACCATGAAGTGTAAACACTGTAAATCATAAGTACTTATAAACAGCCAATATGCTAGTAATAGGCATGCTAATAAGCAACTAGTTAATAGTGAGAATTGGTCCCTAAACTAAATTCAACTAGTATGAAACTAATTTCAGTGCATATATATTGAATAAAACCTGTTTAGAGTACGTTAAACTCACATTTTACCATTTATTCTCCGTAAGCCACAGTTTTGCAACAATCTGTACATATGTGACCCTGGAGCACAAACCCAGTTATAAGGGTCAATTTTTTGAAATTGAGATGTATGCATAATCTCTCCACTGATGTATGGTTTGTTAGGATCGGACAATATTTGAAAATCTGGAATCTGAGGGTGCAAAAAAATCTAAATATTGAGAAAATCATCTTTAAAGTTGTCCAAATGAAGTTCTTAGCAATGCATATTACTAATCAAATTTTTTTAAATTGAGATGTATGCATAAGCTCTCCATTGATGTATGGTTTGATAGGATCGGACAATATTTGAAAATCTGGAATCTGAGGGTGCAAAAAAATCTAAATATTGAGAAAATCATCTTTAAAGTTGTCCAAATGAAGTTCTTAGCAATGCATATTACTAATCAAAAATTTAATTTACAGAATATCTTCATGGCACAAGATCTTAATATCCTAATGATTTTTGGCATAAAAGAGAAATGTATAATTGTGACCCATACAATGTATTGTTGGCTATTCTCTCCACTGATGTATGGTTTGTTAGGATCGGACAATATTTGAAAATCTGGAATCTGAGGGTGCAAAAAAATCTAAATATTGAGAAAATCATCTTTAAAGTTGTCCAAATGAAGTTCTTAGCAATGCATATTACTAATCAAACATTTAATTTACAGAATATCTTCATGGCACAAGATCTTAATATCCTAATGATTTTTGGCATAAAAGAAAAATCAATAATTTTGACCCATACAATGTATTGTTGGCTATTTCTACAAATATCCCCCAGCGACTTAACACTGCTTTTGTGCTGCAGGGACACAAATGTTCAAACGACTATCACACTGTCTGCACCAAAGCCTCTAGTGTGACAGTGAAATAATGAATTGTATAGATGAATTTTAACGTGTCAGACCATTTGAAACACACCTAACTGATACGTTTCTGTGCTCAGGAGCCGATCAAAGTGAGAATGCAGAGCGGTCGGAGGTCCAGGCGATCATTGAGTCCACACCAGAGCTGGACATGGACCTCAGCGGATGCAAAGGCTCCGGGTAAATCCACACTGATTCAGTCATTCGCTCACGGTACTCGCACTTATCACACCGACCCAGCAGCCTTAATTTTCCGCTCTCAGAGGACCCTCATTCCAAACTGGACATTGGTAGACGAAGCAGGTTTTTCTGTCTCATGTCTGTTCATCGTCTCGGTCTCTCTCCAGCACTCCCACTAAAGGCTTGGAGAACATGGCCTTCGACCGTAACACTGACTCTGTCTTTGAGGAGCTCTCGTCAGCAGGAACTGATCTCATAGCAGACGTGGATGAAGGTGCAGATCTGCTGGGTGAGTTCTCAGTCTGTTTTCTGCCACAACAAATGAACATTTACTCATTACATCCGTGTGGCTTTCTTTCTGAAATGACGTTTTAAAGGAGTTACAGCAATGCTTGAGTGAAAGCAACTGCACTGAAAAGTCTAAATGACTGCAGTGATCTTGTTTTGTGAATTATACTAGATTAAAATACCAACGTAATGCTAGTATGAAATCAGTATGAAGTAAGTAGCCTTACAGATTTGCATTTTTAATATAAAGCACACAATTCTTGGTTCAGTTTAGGTCTGATGTAACTGAAAGTAATAAAGGTATTTCAGTCGATTAAAAGAAATTTAAAATTGAAATGAAAACAGAAAAAAAATATTTAAAAACTCATTCAAAATATTAATAAAAAACTATATAGGCGTTTAAAAAAAAAATAAATAAAAATGACAAAAACAAACAGAAAATGCTTAAAGTAACATTTAAATGAATATAGAAAATATTGAAAAACTAATTCAAAATATAAAAAAACTATAGGCATATTAGAAAAAAAACTAATAAAAATTAGAAAATGCTGAACATTTCCTAAAAGTTTAAAATTTAAATGAAAACTGAAAATATAAAAAAATTATTCAAAATATGAAGAAAAACTATATAGGCATATTTAAAAAACAAAAACAAAAAAAAAATGAGAGGGAAAACCCCCCCACTAAAAATGCTAAAACTCAATTCAAAATATTAGTAAAACTATATGCATATTTTTAAAAAAAACTTCAATCGATTCAGTGAGTGAACGAGTCATTAATAATTAGTTTGAGTCTTTGAATGATTCGTTAAAAAGAACTGGATTAAATTGCCTTTGAATCAGACATGGCTGGACGTTCTGTATATTTATTGTCTGTCTTATGCAATCAGACAGGATCAAGCAATATTAATAAAGTAAAAAAAAAAGGTATTACAGTCGTAAAATTACAGTACGAATGATTTAATCTCTTCACTTTCAAGCTTTTATTTTGGCAGAAAACTACAGTCAGATGTTTAAGTCTCTGTGAGCACAGGTTCACAAGCGCTTTTTACTAATCCAGTCAAATGCTGTAACAAATGATGGAAATTATGCAAATGTGAAAATAAAGCATGTTGCGTTCTCGGACGCATGTTGAACTCGCAGCACATGCAGAGACGTACCGATATGGAAACAGTATTTTAGGCAATGCTATTTCAAACGATCAGTTTTACTGTGCTGAACAATAACGGGCCGTGTTTCCCTCAGAGCGGCGTGCCGACGGCCCAGCGCAAGTGCTTCACGCGGGTGGAGATGGCCCGAGTCCTGATGGAGAGAAACCAGTATAAAGAGAAGCTGATGGAGCTGCAGGAGGCCGTCAGGTGGACGGAGATGATACGGTCAGCCACAGCAATCTCACACATGCTCAAACCATCACGAGATTTGATCGTGGGCGATTAAAACGTCTCCATGATCTGCTACGGCGCGCATTCTATCAGCTGCAGTTCTGGCGCCTCCGTCTCAATATGAAGAGTTCATTTGCCAAAACCGATAATCGGCACTTTAAAAAAAATTATAATAATAGTTCTCCACATATAGCGCGATCTGAACCCTAAACACGTTTTGTCAAAAAAGCCGGGTTTGTCCACTTTCAAGGCATCACGAGTTCACGTTTTACTGCAGAAGCCGACAAGCGCCGAACAGAAGCCGATAAATCCATTTCAGCGAATCAGCGCGCTGCATTCAGGTCAGGTGACAAGGCTACTTTCACTCTGAAAAGATGTGCTAGCTGAGAGGAGTCTCGTCAAAGCTGACTAAAAGTGATCGAGGATCATTTCGACGAACTTGATGAACCTGTGATATCTTCTTCAGGGAGAAAAGAAACGTTTTCACGGAAGCTTGCGAAAGCAGTGCGTTACAACGGTGAGGGAAAAGCTGCATGTAATCACATCCATACAGTTTATGATCACAACAACAACAACGTTTGTCAGGCGTCTACATTATCATCTGAGGAGATTACAAAGATTCAACCAGTGTGTTTCAAACTCTAAAACATGAAATGTGGAGTTATCTGCTTTTGCTATAAAACAAACTTTTAATATGTACAAAAAACATACTTTCAATGAACTTTAATTTTGTAAATTACCTGTATTTGTTTACGTTATTATTACTTAATCAAAACAACCCAACTGCAGTTTGATTGATATTACTTGGAATGCACAATTTTAAAAAACGTGATTTCTGAAAAAAAAAACATTTAGTTATCGGTTTTTGCAAATGAACTCTTCATATACTGTACAACACCACATACATTCACATCAAATGTCACTCAGCGGTAGCACTTATTCACAATCACAAAAGTACATTATTTGCATGTGCTTTAAAGCCTTGCCGGTTAAACATTTCATTCTGACATGGTCTTTTTCTGAGCCTTTTCCACACCAATCTCACACATGCTCAAACCATCGTGGGCGATTAAAACGTCTCCATGATCTGCTACGGCGCACATTCTATCAGCTGCAGTTCTGGCGCCTCCGTCTCAATATGAAGAGTTCATTTGCAAAAAACGATAATCGGCACTTTTTAAAAAACTTAACTCGCGATGCCTTGAAAGTGGACAAAACCGACTTTTTTGACAAAACGTGTTTAGGGTTCAGACACCTGAAGCGAGGCACGCTAAAAAGCCTGTCAAACAGCGCCTGATTACAGGACTGAGTTATCTTTCGCATCTGATTGCGCTAATACTGTCAAAAACACATGAGGTTTACATATAAACACAGTTGGTTATGTAAAAGTTGAGATAAAAACAGATGCGTGTAGGTCTTAAAGTGACAGCAGTCTAATAGTACTAAACATGCTGCCGCTTGTCATTAAAGGAAAAGTTCACCCCAAAATTTAAATCCTGTCACTATTTACTCACTCTCATGTTGTACCACACCTGTATTCATTTCTTTCCTGTGCTAAACACAAAAGAAGATATTTTGAAGAACGTGGGGAACCAAACAGTTGCTGGTCCCCATTGACTTTGATCGTAGGAAAAAAATACCATGGAAGTCACTGGGGACCAGAAACTGTTTAGTTTCCCACATTCTTCAAAATATCTTCTTGTGTTCATCAGAAGAAAGAAATTCATTCAGGTTTAAAACAGCTTGAGAGTGAGTAGATGATGACAGAATTAAAATTTTTGGGTGAACTGTCCCTTTAATGTTAATAAAACAACAAAACAGAGAGCAATCACTCACTGCTCTTGACTGAAGAACTTTAATACAGTTGCTTTAATAAGAATCAATGCATGTGTATAGTGTTTTATTTTTATATTTATTCATTCAGTTTCTTGAATGCTACTGCTAAGTACACCTACTGTATCTGAAAAATGAAGCACTGTTTGTTTTATGTGTATTTGTAATACGTATCTTTGTTCTTAATTTTTAATTACCTTCGCCCACTTTGACCTAAATATCTGCCATTCTTTTTTAATTTTCTATTTTGTTACCTTGTAAGGCTTTGTTTTTAAAATAGGGAAATTAGTTTGGGTGTGCTGCTCAGAAAACGTGCAAAATAGTCAAACCAGCGTGACAGAGAATCGTGATTAAACTCGTGATTTTCCTGAAAAATAATTGTGTTTTGTTCAATGCAGAACGTCGAGAGAGAATCCAGCCCTGACTGAGAAGAAAAAGTCCAGTGTCTGGCAGTTGTAAGCAACCTTTCTTCGTTCTCCTCAAAGTTGGTGTTACATTGCTTTGTGTGGTTTGGCGTTGAAACGATGTTTCCCCCTCTCATTTTATGTCCCCCTTTTATTTGTTTACCTTCTAGGATGTAGGTAAATCTTAGAAATCCTAGTAAATCTTGCACTTGGTTTGATCCTCGAATCCAAAAATGTGTTCTTGGGCATGGGAATGCTGTTTCTTTAAAGCTTTAACAGGAATAGAACAAAAGCATAACAGGAGTTTATGCTACATTAAACTTTACTAATGTTCAAGCGTTCATTACACGCGTTTTAAAGGATTTAGCACGTCAGTGTCAGAAAGCAGCCTGCGGGGGGCTTGTTTTGTTGGTTTGAAATGTCATTCCCTGGTCATGCCGGTCTACTCTGAGTTTTGCATTTGGGGGAATTTAAGGTTTTGCATCTATTTTAAACCCATTCGTTCTCCTCTTGTGTGCTCCTGTGTTGTCTGTAACCCTCTTCATGTCGTCCTGTGTGTTTGCAGAAGGTGTGTTGGGTCAGGGGACAGAGCTTTCACAGACAGATCATAAGACGTTTGTTTAGATTCAGATCTTTGAATGTTTTCTGGAAGGATTTGCATGGTGTGGTGTTTGATAAAGTGCAAAATTAGAAGAGCTTTATTCAGGAGTTTCAGGTCACATTTGTGACCCTGGACCACAAAACCAGTCTTAAGTGTCAATATTTTGAAATTGAGATTTATGCATCAATATATAAGAATAATAATCTCTCCATTGATGTATGGTTTGTTAGGATCGGACAATATTTGGCTGAGATACAACTATGTGAAAATCTGGAATCTGAGGGTGCAAACAAATCTAAATATTGAGAAAATCATCTTTAAAGTTGTTCAAATGAAGTTCTTAGCAATGCATATTACTAATCAAACATTAAGTTTTGATATATTTACGGTAGGAGATTTACTAAATATCTTCATGGAACATGATCTTTACTTAATATCCTAATGATTTTTGGCATAAAAGAGAAATCTATAATTGTGACCCATACAATGTATTGTTGGCTATTGCTACAAATATACCCGGGAAAATATTAGATCATAGTATTAATATTTCCATTTATTTATTTATTAATGGAAATTTAGATTTTCTGAAACAACTGTATATGTACACTACTATTCAAAAGTGTGGGGTTTGTAAGGTTTTTTTAATGTTTTTGAAAGAAGTCTCACCAAGGCTGCATTTATTTGATTGAAAATACAGCAAAAGCAGTAAAAATTGTGCAATATTATTACAAATTAAAATAGCAGTTTTCTATGTGAATCTCTGTTAAACTGTAATGTATTTCTGTGATGTGCAGCTGTATTTTCAGCATCATTCCTCCAGTCTTCAGTGTCACATGATCTTCAGAAATCAGTATAATATGCTGATTATTAGAAACATTTCTGATTATTATCAATGTTGAACACAGTCGTGCTGCACAATATTTGTATCTGTTTTTTCAGGATTCACAGATGAACAGAAAGTTAAAAAAACAGCATTTATTTGAAATAGAATCTTTTGCAACGTTATAAATGTCTTTACTGTCACTTTTGATCAATTTAATGCATCCCTGATGAATGAAAATATGACTTTCTTTCAAAAAGCTCTGGAACAGTAGTGTATTAACTGGTGTAACGTAGAAAGTGAAGGTTTGTTCAGCATGTGCTGTCTGGGGTTAGATATCTGATGGTTGGTTTGTCGCAGAGCTGTGTGAAGAGCTTGCCACATGTTAGGGACGTGACCCCACAACCCCATAACGGTTAACCTTTGACCTCTAACTGCTGCTTGTCTGCATATGAGTCTCTGTCTGTGTCTCTCTCCCCACGTCCTTTAGTTTCAGCAGGCTCTTCAGCTCTTCGTCCAGCACCACAGCCCAAAAACCAGACGCAGCGGTTAACATGAAGTTCAACGCACCCAGCTCACACATCATCCCCTCGGTGAAGAAGAGGAGCAGCACGCTCGCTCAGCTGCCTAGTGACAAATCCAGAGCCTTTGACTTCCTCAATGAGGAGTGAGTGGCTCTCATTCAGATGCCTCTACACTGTGATGTCCGTATTTTCCGATCTGAAGTGTGTGTGTGTGTGAGTGTGAGTGAGAGTGTGTGTGTGTGAGTGTGAGTGAGAGTGTGTGTGTGTGTGTGTGTGTGTGTGTGTGAGAGAGAGAGTGTGAGTGTGAGAGTGTGTGTGTATGTGTGTGGTGTGATTGTGGTGTGTGTGTGTGTGTGTGTGTGTGTGTGTGTGTGCGCGTGCGTGTGCGAGTGCGTGCGCGCGTGTGTGTGTGTGTGTGCGAGTGTGTGTGTGTGTGCGAAAAAGAGAAAAAACACTGCTTTAGCGTCTTAGCCTGGGTCCAAAATTAAAACTTGACAAGCATCAGAGGTGTTCTTTTGCATGCGAGCAGCTCATCAATCCAATGTTCTCAGAGTCAGTTTGCCATTCCTCACAAACTCCATCTCTGCAACCGTCATTTGTATTTCTTTATTGATGTTTAGATTTATTTAAAAAAAAAAAAATAATAATAATAATAATTATTATTATAAACTAGTCTTCTTGAATGGGGGGGGAGATAGGATTTCCTTCTTCTTTGTCCTTCAGCTGATCAGATGTCTGTGACTGTGTGTGTGTGTGTGTGTGTGTGTGTGTGTGTGTGTGAGTGTGTGGGTGTGGATGTGTGTGTGTGTGAGACTGTGTGAGAGAGTGAGTGTGTGTGTGTGAGTGTGAGTGTCAGTGTGTGTGTGACACAGGGCTGAGGTGGAGAATGTAGTGTCTCGTAGAGAGCAGAAGAGAGCTCAGTACAGGCAGGTGAAGGCTCATGTGCAGAAAGAGGACAGCCGCATGCAGGCGTACGGATGGAGTTTACCTCCAAAATACAAGGTAACGTCTCTGACGCTGTGTAACAGAGAAAGCAAAGATCACAATGAAAAGTTGCCTATTAATACACACTACCGTTCAAAAGTTTGGGATCAGTAAGAGTTGTAATGTTTCTAAAGAAGCCTCTTCTGCTCATCAAGGCTGTGTTTATTTGATCAAAAATACAGAAAAAACGGTAATCTTGCAAAATGTTATTACAATATAAAATAATGGTTTCTATTTTAATATCCTTTAAAATATAATGTATTTCTGTGATGTGCAGCTGTATTTTCAGCATCATTACTCCAGTCTTCAGTGTCACATGATCTTCAGAAATCAGTGTAATATGCCGCTTTACAATGTTGTGCTGCTTCATATTTTTTTGTAACCCGTGATACTTTTTTCAGGATTCTTTGATGAATAAAAAGTTAAAAAGAACAGCATTTATTCAAAATATAAATCTTTTCTAACAATATAAATCTTTGCTATCACTTCTGATCAATTTAACACATCCTCGCTGAATAAAAGTTTTAATTTCTTTAAAAACAAGAAAGAATATAAATGTACTGACCCCAGACTTTTGAACGGTAGTGTATATTGTTAGAAAATATTTCTATTTTAAATAAATGCTCTTCTTTTCAACTTTTTATTCATCAAAGAATCCTGAAAAAAGTATCACGGGTTACAAAAAAATATGAAGCAGCACAACATTTTAAAGCAGCATATTACACTGATTTCTGAAGATCATGTGACACTGAAGACTGGAGGAATGATGCTGAAAATACAGCTGCGCATCACAGAAATACATTAGATTTTAATGTATATTAAAATGCATGAAAAAATCCTAATAATATTTCACAATATTAAATTTGTTCCTGTATTTCTGATCAAATAAATGCAGCCTTGAGCAGAAGAGACTCATGTAAAAAACATTAAAAATCGTTCTGATCCCTAACTTTTGAGCGGTAGTGTATACATTAAAAGTGTTTTTTATACCTAATGGGTTGCTATAAAAGTATTTTGTTAAAGCCGCCTTGTTCTGTTTTCAAAGGTTGCAAATGGTGGACAAGCAGATAGTAAAATAAAAAATCTGCCAGTGCCCGTCTACCTGCGACCGTTAGATAAGAAAGATGCTTCCATGAAGGTGAGACTGCTCTCTGATCGAGTCTTGAGCTCCGTCAGTGTCGTGGTTTGACGTGCGTGTGTGTGTGTGTAGCTGTGGTGCGCTGCAGGAGTCGATCTGTCCAGTGGAAAGACACGAGACGGAGGCTCCATCGTGGGAGCGAGTGTGTTTTATAAAGATGTGTCTGGAGGAGAGAGCGGCCTCGGGAAGAAGAGAGGATCTCGGAGCAGTCTGGAGCGACTGGAGCGACTGGAGCAGGAACTCAAGGTCAGGAGCCCCAAAATATCACATGCATCTCGTGAAGAAGGACTTGGTTTTCTGCAGGCAACACCATTGGCTTTTCATGCAGTTGTGGAAAGCAAACATCCAAAATACACTTCAGCTTTCAATTACAATCTTTCTGAAAAAGTGGTTTTCTGCACTTCAGCAGCACTTATATACAGACTTTATCTGTATTCTGAAGGCTTTTACACCGGGGTTTGTTCATGCATCATCATTCACACTGAGTGATAGAATATTTTATTCCTAAAAACATGAAGATGTTTTTGTTTTGTCTGTTGACGGTATTTTCTGATTTATGGAGTGATAAAAAAATGAGAAATCCAGAATTCTGTCTGTAAAAACATTTAAACAAAATTCTAATTCATATTTCAAATTCAAATTTAAATTTTTTTTTTATTTATCCAGTGTTCAGATTTCTGTTCTGGAAATATATATGCAAATTAATGAATGAAAATGCAAATGAATGTATATTTAATGCATCTTTTTTTGTATTTGGAAATAAAAATATACAAATTAAAAAATATATATATATATATTTAATTAGTACCTAATTTGCATACGTATGACATTTCAGAAACTTGTCATATAAAACAATTGTCTTAACGTAAAAAATAAGCAGAATGTTCATGTTTAGATTTGCTTGCTGGAAATGTATGTGCAAAAGTCCTGCCTGTAAAGAAAAAAAAAAAGTAACTAATATGTCAACAGAATGAAAGAAGAATTTGTTCTGGAAATATATATATATATATAGCGTCTGTGTGTGTCTGTGTGTGTGTGAGAGTGTGTGCAGGAGCAGCAGACGGAGCTGCAGCACCAGGATGATCTCTCCAGTCTGGTGTGGATCTGCACCACCACACACACCTCCTCTAAAGTCATCGTCATCGACGCTAACCAGCCCGGAAACATCCTGGAGAGCTTCTTCGTCTGTAGCTCACACGTGCTGTGCATCGCCAGCGTTCCCGGTCAGACGACACACTGAGGCCTTATTCATCATCTCCTCCAGCGCTTTCGGTTTGACGGGTTCTGTGTGTGTTTGTGTCAGGCGCTCGTGAAACAGACTATCCCTCCGGAGAGGAGCTGAGCGCAGACGCCGAGGCCGAAGGGGCTTCTGAAGTCAGCTCCACAGGCTCTGACGGAGGTCTGGATGGCATCACTGTCATGGGCTGCTCTGCAGAAGGACTCGTGGCCATCCCTCAAACCGTCTGCACCAACTCCATAGAGTCCTCAGACACCGGTAACACTAACAGACACAGCACTGCAGAAGATAGCATCAAGTCACGCGTTTGATTTTAAAGTCTGGACCACTTTACTCCATTTTTCATTCAACACAAAGAAGAATAAAGTCTTATGAACTCTCTGGAAATAATGCACCAAATTGAACCTTCTGTAAAGAAACGATGACTCGTGGTTAAAGGGAAGCATTTTACCTTTTTAAAGTCAACATGAAAACTAAATCTACCCTGTTTACTTCCTTGATACACATTCATGGTCTTATTATGAACAATTAATGGTATCACTTTAGTTTAGGGACCAATTCTCACTAGTAACTAGTTGCTTATTAGCATGCATATTAATACTTTTAAAGCACATATGTGACCCTGGACCACAAAACCAGTTTTAAGTGTCAATTTTAGGAAATTGAGATGTATGCATCATCTGAAAGCTGAATAAATAATCTTTCCATTGATGTATGGTTTGTTAGGATCGGACAATATTAGAAAATCTGGAATCTGAGGGTGCAAAAAAAATCTAAATATTGAGAAAATCATCTTTAAAGTTGTCCAAATGAAGTTCTTAGCAATGCATATTACTAATCAAACATTAAGTTTTGATATATTTACAGTAGGAAACTTACAAAATATCTTCATGGAACATGATCTTTACTTAATATCCTAATGATTTTTGGCATAAAAGAGAAATGTATAATTGTGACCCATACAATGCATTGTTGGCTATTGCTACAAATATCCCCCAGCGACTTAACACTGCTTTTGTGCTGCAGGGACACATATTAATGTCTTATTCTGCATGACCATATTTCAGATCCCTTAATCCTATCCAATACCTAAACTTAACAACTACCTTACTGACTATTAATAAGCAGTAATTAAGAGTTTATTGAGGTAAAAGTCGTAGTGAGAATAAAGTGTGACCCAATTAATTTATGCTTGTTACTACAAATAAATTAAATAAAATGTCTTTGTAATCTTTCATCAGCAGTATGTGACCAATAGATTGGAAAAATTAGCCAAACATCTCTTTTGCAGAGTTTATTTCTGGCTGCTGCTACACAAAAACAGTGTATGAAAAATTGGAAACTCTCTTCCAAATGAATCCAAATTCTTCAGTAGAGGAAAAAAGATAACATAAAATATTAAATCAAAGCTTACAAAACACATCAAAAATAAGTAACAACTAGTGTTAATTTTGGCAGCTATTTTAAATTTAGTCTTAGTCCTGTGTCAAATATCACTTTTAGTTTTTATCATATTTAAACTTGTCCTGTGTTAGTTTTATTCTAGTTTTAGTCGACTTAATGTCTGAGCATTTTATTCTAGTATTAGTCAGTGGAAACTTACACATTGATTTTTGTCATTTTCGTCTTACTGTATAATGGTTAAAATTATAAAAAATTATTATTTTGCTCAATTTTAATTGCAATGGTTGTTGTCATTTAGGAAATTAATTTTTACATTTCATCAGAAGTTTAATGACCTTATTATCACCTCGTCATCGTCTCGTTTCAGTCCGGGGAAAAAACTTTGTTGACGAACATTTTTTGTTATAGATTTCGTTAACGAAATTAACACTAGTAAACAAAATTATTAAATAAATACATATGGTAGTGGCTAAAGTTCAAAACATAGTTGCCACGAGCAGCATAATTACCAAACACCACATTTGAAAAGAAACAACACACTTTTCAAAAAGAAACAATCATAAAGGAACACTTTGGATTGTAGCACTTCACAAAAACGAATTAACTAAAAAAAAAAAGGTTTAATGCATACAAAATACATTAGCATTTTTACAAAAAAAAGTCATATTTACGACAAAAACAAATGCAGAACAGTGCAAAATGTTAATAAATGTTCCGTCTCTAAAACAACTTGGCTTTGCAAGTCAATTCAGATCCAGTCGATAAATATATTTTTTATATATTCTTATTTTTTCTTGTTTGAATTTCCTGCTTCACTTGATCAGATCGCTACAGAGTTGCAAACTGCATTTCATGTTGACCTTTGTTTCACCATATTAAACCTTGTGTTACCTCACATAAGTTTGAGACTTAAAAGATTATTAATATTCATAAGATTCATAAGAAACTTTAACTCAACTGAGCTGAATATTGACACCTTTGTCTTCTTTATATCTTTGATGAATTTTACAACATTAGCACAGTTATTTTAGCAGTCGTTATTAGTGTGACGCTGCGTGCAGACGTTCTGTGTTGTGTAAAGCAGCTGTGAAGTCTCTCTGCAGACGAGGTAGCAGCAGCAGAAGAAGCTCTGGAGGCCCCGGAGAGCCACAGCAACACGCCTGCGGATGAGAGTCGGCCCGGGATCTACACCGAACACGTGTTCATCGACACGCCATCCAGCTACACGCAGAGGTGTGTGCCGCTTAGGGTTGCAGAGGGGTGGAACATTTCCGGAAACTTTCCAAAAATCCCTGGAATATTCCCAAAAATCCGGGAAAGTTTCCAAAATATCTGGAACGTTTCGGAAATTTTCGGAAAAATGTTCCACCTTTTTGCAACCCTAGTGCCACTTAAGAGTTCATAATGTCAGCCGTTTTAAATTAGTCTTAGTCTTAGTCCTGGAGTCAAATGTGACCCTGGAGCACAAAACCGGTCATAAGGGTACATTTTTTTAAATCTGAATGCTGAATAAATAGCTTTCCATTGATGTATGGTTTGTTAGGATCGGACAGTATTTGGCTGAGATACAACTAGTTGAAAATCTGGAATCTGAGGGTGCAAAAAAAATCTAAATATTGAGAAAAGTTGAAATTGATTCAAAAGTTTTCCAAAGCACCGGGCAGAAAATGTAAGAGCGGTTGCCAGATTCCAAACAAATAAGCAAAACACCTGGCAGAAAATGTGTCCTTTTAACTGAGAAGCTCTGATTTGCGGATTTGAACTCTTGATATCTGGCAACCGCACACATGAAAGCTCGTGTAGTAGAGGAGTGTACAGCAGCCCGCAATAATATTTTGTCTCCTTTTTTTTTCAACAAAATTAAAAGAAGTTTTGGTATAGCTTTTATTTTTTACAATACATTTTAGTCTCGTCTTTTATCGTCAACGATATTGCATGTTGATATAGTCACAGTTATCGTTTATTGAGCTTATTGTGGTCTGGTCATCGTCTCGTCTTAGTCATGGGGAAAAAAGAACATTTTTCGTCACACTTTTGGTCATGTCTCAGTCTGAGAGGGTCAGATGTTGTTGAGGTGTGTGTGTAACGTCTGTGCTCTGTAGGGAGTGTGATCTGGTGAAGGACGGCGTCAGCTCGATGCCCGAGGTGCAGGATCTCGTGAGAGATGAAGCCTGCAAGATGAGCAGCGTTCTGCCTACAATGTGGCTCGGGGCTCAGAACGGCTGGTGAGCGTCAAACCCTTGCAAGAGTGGAAAATAAACAGGGTTCACACTATGTACGGCTGCATGATTAATCGAAATAAAACCGCAGTTACAGTATAGGTTAGTGCACAAGGGCTGCCACTGAAATAAATAAATGCGCTGCATGTTTCAGAGTGAAGCTCAAGACCTTGCTCAGCAGTGTTTTTAGCGTCTCGGAGCAGCACGGTTCACACAAACTCATCTCTGCTTGAGCTTATCAGGAAAATAGAAGCTTTAAGGGCTTTTAAGAGCTTTATATCCCTGTGGTTTTGCATGGAAATAAAAAAATGAAAAACAATATATACACTAAATATTAGTATTGTAAATTGACAGTTGTAATGTGAAAGAAAATTATTATTATAATATTATTTTTATTTTTTATTTTGCAGTGAAATATTTTCATAGTAATATTTTTTTGCTTTTTTTATCAGTTGTTTACTTTTTTATTTAGTAATATTACATTATTATTATAATATTTTTCTTAGTCTTTTTTATTTTACAGTGAAATATTTTAATAGTAATAGTTCTTTAGTTTTTTATCAATTGTTTACTTTTTTATTTAGTAATATATTAAGTAATATTAAGTTATTATTGCTATTTTAGTTTTGTATATATTTTTTATATGTTATTATTACTATTTTTATATAATTATTAATAGACAACATAATAACGACGACAACAACAACAACAATAATATTTATTACTACTACTATTATTATTATTTTATAGACATATTGATATATAATCACAACATTTTTGCAAAATTGTGTAGCCCGTCAAACAGCTAACCTGGACTTTTTAAAACACATTTTAAATTAATTATTTGTTTAAATTTAATGAAGTCCTATTTCCTAACAGTCATGGAAAACCTGTAAATTATCAGGAAATTGGTGGAAAAAGTCATGAAAATTAATAACATCTTGGGCTGTGACCATCATAGACCAAAAACAATTATAAAAATTTTTTTTTAAGATATCTTATTAAATATGCATGTTCTACTTTTAATTCCATTTAATCGGCTAGACGTGGTTCCTAGGTAAAACTTCCTCTCAAGTGATGTAGGTCAGTTCAACCGGCTCACACATCGGTCTGAAGGATTCATTAGTGTATCGATCGGAAGCAAACTGATTTTTAAAAACCTTATGAACATGGATTATTAATAATGGAGATGTGTAGCGTTCACCATGCACTGATGCCGCTCTCTTGCAGTGTATACGTGCATTCATCGGTCGTGCAGCGGAGGAAGTGCCTTCACTCCATCAAGTTAAAGGATTCTGTTCTGGGGATTGTGTAAGGAAGCTCTCATCGTCTGCATGCATTTATATAAACTGAAGCTCTTCCTTCAGCGGCAGCTGCTCATGACTCTTTCTCTTCTTCTGTAAAGTCATGTGAAAGGACGTGTTCTGGTAGCTTTGGCTGATGGCACGCTTGCAATCTTCCACAGAGCTGTTGGTAAGACTCTGCTCACGCTTTCAAAAAATAAATGCAGTATCTTAAAGACTACATATTTAATGCACGCCACACCATGCCAGTTAAAAGCTCGTTTAATGATGGATATTTGTGTTATAGATGGCCAGTGGGATCTGACCAACTTCCACCTGTTAGATCTGGGCCGTCCGCACCACTCCATCCGCTGCATGACTGTAGTGCATGACCAGGTCTGGTGTGGATACAGGAACAAGATCTTTGTGGTGCAACCCAAAGCCATGAAGATCGAGGTATGGCTTTTCTGTGACATTCTGGTGAGGTGATGTATCTCGAAGATACAATACCATTTAAAAAAATTTTTTTTATCAAGGACGCAAAGTGACAGTAAAGACATTTATAATGTTACCGAAGATTTCTGTTTCAAATAAATGCTGTTCTTTTGAACTTTCTGTTCATCTGTGAATCCTGAAAAATGAAATGCATCACAGTTTCCACAGAAATATTGTGCAGCACGACTGTGATCAACACTGATAATAATCAGAAATGTTTCTAATAATCAGCATATTAAAAGACATTTATAATGTTACCGAAGATTTCTGTTTCAAATAAATGCTGTTCTTTTGAACTTTCTGTTCATCTGTGAATCCTGAAAAATGAAATGCATCACAGTTTCCACAGAAATATTGTGCAGCACGACTGTGATCAACACTGATAATAATCAGAAATGTTTCTAATAATCAGCATATTATACTGATTTCTGAAGATCATGTGACACTGAAGACTGGAG